TGTGGCTGCATTTCCTGAGTCAAAGGTAAATGTCTGTTCACTTCTGTTTCAATTTAATCTCTACATGTTAGACTAACCTGCAAAGACTGAATCAATTCAGCCTCAGACTTTTTGCCTGTCTGTATTTATCCCTGTTGTGTTACAGATTTGAACCGGTTTTTGATCACTTATAGCAGTTTATGTGTAATTTATGTCCCTAGCCCAAATGTTTGAGAAAAATTAAAAGCCTCTCCTCTGATTTCTAAATTTTAACATATGACCACCCCCCTTTTTCACCCTTCTCAATACTTTACAAAGCTTGGAGATCTCAGAGTATTTTTTTAAATGCCAATGGCTTAGGGCTCATAAGACCATTGCATAATTTATCCTCAATGAGATCTAACTGGGACTTAAGTATGACTTATATGTCAAGCAGATAGCAACATCAAAACTGAGGCACTTCTGTGTCCTGTCCAGAAACAGAAATCTAGGTCCCTGGGCAACTTTAATACTGAAACTGAGCTACCTAAGGACACTTTCAAAGTTAGGTGACAACAGAGCTGGGAGTTTTGAGAATTACAATTTTGGATCAAGGCATCTTTAGCAGGTGTTTAGACACCTATGCCCTTTTGTGGACATAGTTTAGAATGACAAAAGGCAAAAGAGCAAAATTCAACAATTAAAGAGATTATTCATAACCAGAAGCAATAGGGTGGCACTGCATATATTAAACATTTATTAAACAGCAACAGATTATATAAGAAATTACAGGTGTGCTGAAATGCTGGTTTGAAGAAAATGAGGGAACTTAAAATGCTAATGGGAGACAAATAAAGTATGCGTAAGAGAGGTCACGTTAGAATAAGAAGATACAACCAACAGACAAAGCTAAAATGTTGAAGGAATTACAGAGGGAGGTATATTCTCAGGCAACCATAACAAATTAAGTTTTAAATTAAATTAAAAAATATGCCTCCTTAAATTATCAGAAAATCACAGATATAAACTATCCCTTCAAGAGAAAGATAGTGTCCTCTAAGTGTGCATATTAGGAAAGGCACAGAAGTGTTTTTACACAGCATGTTAAATCTAGGTTCCAATGAAGTTAGTGAGAGTTTGCCAGAGATTTCAATGGGGAGAAGCTTACAAAACTTTTTTAAAAAACAGAATTTTGGATGTATTCAAATCCGGCTTAGGGCAATTTATTTGTTTTTCTGCTATTGTTAGATCATGTCATGAGATTCTAAACAACAGCTCTAATTTTAGGGTGTAGCTAAAAGTAACATTTTCACACACTTTGGCCCCTGAAAGTGCACTACAGCCATATTATAACACATGTGAGGCTACAGCGCACTTTTTAAATGGCCAATCATGTGAAAAAGTAACTCTTATTAAATCAGGTAATAAATGAAGAAGCTCTAATTTAGAGCTCTAATGGCTGGAACTGTTTCTTCATTTGGAAAAGATTCACACTGATATCCTGTACTCATTTCTGGACTTGTATACAGTTCCCTATGAGGGTTACATGTTATGCCCCAGGTCTGCCACAGGGAGGAGACAGAGAGTCTCCTCATGTGCAGCCACAGAGGGAGAGAGAGAGAGTGTAGTCATTAGGGCGAAGGGTCATGGCCAGCACTCCCACCCCCAGGGAAAGGGTCCCCAGTACCCAATGGCACCACTCAGGGGGTCCACCCCCAAGAGAGTCCCCCTACACAGGGGAATCTCTGGCAGCATGGGTAGCTGCTGGTGTCTCTGGGCAGGCAGGGGAGGAGCCTGGAGACACCAGCGGGCCCAGCTGCCAAGCTTCCAGAGCAGGCTACAGTGCCCCCTGCCTCCTGGCCTCAACCTGTGCATGGAGGCTCTGAGCCCCCACCAAACACCAAATGTCTGATTAATTTGAATTACACTGGAAATGTGTAAAGTGCTTAAATCTACAGATTGATCAATAACTTCTGAAAGCACCCTTAGAGTCCTTAATCAAGGCAAACTCCCATCGTCTACTGACATCATAACCTTAAGATGGTTTGTCTGAGTAAGAATGGGGATGATATTTAAGTATGCAAGGCAAGATTTTCAATTTGTGTATGTTGTCATGGTTGCAGAGCCTTCAACAGAAATATGACACTGTACAATCTAAGTCTAACCCTTAGTTATTGCTTCTTTTTTTATTATTATGATGTCATTTTTATTGAGACTATCCCATTTAAAACTTTAATCATTTGGCTCATCATAACTGGTTTTAATCATTTGGTTCCACCTAACAACTTTTTTTTAATCAAATGAAATCTGTAGGTATTAAACCAACTGAAGCTCATTTATGTCAAGGCAAATTGCTTCTCTAATATATAAAAAATACCACATGACCAGCAAAATAAATTTCTGTCTCATATTTCAAATTTACAGCTCCAGAAGTTTAACTGGATTTCAAGGCACCACATTTTCACATCACTGTACTTTGAACAACTCTTTCAATACAGTAAGAAAGACAGAAAATATTACATCAAAGTTATAAGACTGATCAGTAGTCCTGATGTAATGGTTGAAAATGTTTCTTCATTTGCAAAAGATTCACACTAATATCCTGTACTAAAGTCCTTTCTGGACTTTAAGGCCTGCATTTTCTACACAATTCATAAGGAAAAAGCAGGAATGGCTTATGATGAAAGCAACAGCAATGCAGCTGGAAGGGTACTAGGCATTTTTTACATTTC